GCGGCGCAGGCTCTCCTCGCGTTCGCAGCTGCGGCGGATTTCGCGTTCGATGGGCGTCTCCATGAGTAACTCCTCGGGAAGTTGGGGAGCCTCGGGACTTGATAGCAAACGCAGCTGGGGGGGCTTCTGATCTGGAGGAGTCCACGGAGAGACACCAGCCCGGGACCTCCGAGCTCCGCGCCTCGGACAGCCCAGGGTCGTCGCTGCCTGGCCCGGGACTCTCAAAGCCCGCGGTGGCGGACAGTCCCGGGCGCTCTGCGTCCTGTTCTCGTCCTACTGGACCGAGAACTTCGCTCTCTTACTCCGGGTTCTCGATGCTTTGCTCTGTGGAAGGTATAGGGACCTCTTCGCCCAGATTGGGGATCTCTCTCCAGCTCTCCAGCAAGCTCCGGGGCTTCGCTGTCTGGCCCAGGGGCTCTTGGCCCCGCGTTTCGGGCAACCCCAGGGCTTCGCTCTCCGGCCCAGAAGGTTCAGTATCCAGGGTCGGGAAGCCTCAGGTCTCAACGGTGGGATTTTGGTGCCCAGAGCTGGGACACAGTGCCCTGCGTGCGCAGGTTCCAAGGCGCCGCCCGCCCCGGCCGCTGCTCAGACCAGCCTCTGGCCTGCAAGAACGGCCTCCCGGGGGCAGGGCCGGGCACCGAGGGCCGGGCCCCGCCCCCGGCCCCTGCCAGGAGGACTCCGGCTCCGCCCCGGCCCCGCCCACGGGGCGGAGGCGCCTCTGTGGGGTACCGGATTTGGTCCACTGGCCGGCCTGGGTCAGCTCAGGGCACAGGATTTCTCAGGGGAGGGCTTCCCTAGACTGTCCCGCTACCTGGGGGGCCACTCCGGGTGTCGCGTTCCTCACCCTGGCGCCGTTTTGGTCCCATGTCCCCAGCATTGCCCAGGAGACTTGGCCCCAGCAGTTCTCCAGACTGGGGACTCTTATGGGGGGTCACCCCCGCTCCAAAGGCGTCTTTCCGAGACCTGGCCAGCCCCGCCCAGCCGGTGTCAGCCAGCGGGCAGCGACGTCCCTGGCCTATGGGCCCTCCCTCCCTGTTCCACCCCTGCGGCGCACAGCTCCGGCCCGAGGGGGGCGCCAAGAGTCGTCTCCAGGCGCGCCCTACTCTCGCTCGCGGTTCCCGGACTCAACCAGGTTCCCAGCTGCGCAGAGCCGCCCCAGCTCAGGGGAGAAACGACCTCCCCTCCCTTCCAGGAAAAGCCGGCGACCGAGTGCACTCCCGGATGGAGGGAAGAGGGCGAGGCGGAGAGAGCGCGCGCCCAGGGCGCAGCGCGGTGCGGTTGCGGTTAAAAGGCAGTCGGTCACCTTGAGCTCTGGCTGCTGGGAGGCTCCGACCTGGGCCAGGAGGCTTCAAGCTAGCGGGAGGCCCCAGCTCTCTGCATTGAGGTCGAATGGTTTGGTTCCAGGCAGGATCGACGTCCCCCACGGAGGCCACCCACTGCCAGTGATATTTTCCACTCTTTCGCCTGATGGAAACAGGTTTCCCCAGAATCAGCTCCTCCCACCGCCACCACTATTCTGGGGTGACCAGGAAGAAAGATACAGTTACCTAGGGAAAGCTGGGGCGGGGCTCAGGAATCCCCAATCATAGAACTATGATTAGCTCAGACCCCAGCTCCCTGCCTCCTGGTGGTGACCTCCTCTGTTGCATTTTCTCCTCTCCCCTCTCCTGGACTCCAGCCTCACGCTGCCCCCTCCTCCCTGTGACCCCATCAGCCTGATTGGCATCAGGCCAGCTTGGTTTCCAACCCATTCATAACCGGAGAATGCTGCGAATCCCTGTCCAAAGCTCAGTTTCTTTGTCTATAAAAAGGGAATAACAGTGCCTATTCGCTTGGGAGGTGATGACAATTAAAGTTATAAACTTCTGAGTCCAGCTAGTGGCCTGCACAAGTTCAAGTCCTGGGCCCTTCAACTTAAGAAACACACTGGGGGACCAGCAGCTGGCATAATGGCTAGGTCGCTGGACTCCCATGTATGTAGTTGACTGCGGTTCGAGTCCTGGACCTGGTGGCTTAAACTCATGCCAGGCACGTGTGTGCATGCGTGCCCAAGATCCCGAGAGGAGAATGGAGAAGGGATTGAGGCATGGCCATCCCCCCTGGGAGGTGATTTCTGTCTCTGTCCCTCTCTCTGTCTTTCTGGCAAGCGCATGCGCCCTATAGCGAAAACCTCTCCAAAAAAATTTTTAGAAGAAAGAAAGAAAGAAACACACTGGGAGGGGCAGGTGGTGTGGTGGTTAAAGCACTGGACTCCCTTGGGACTGACAGGTGGCGTGGTGGTTAAGGGCACTGGACTCCCACATGGCTGACGGCAGTTCAAATCTCAGATCTGGTGGCTTGCTTTCTGTCTTTCCCTCCCTCTCTCTCTCTCTCTCTCTCTCACTCTGTCCCTCTCCAATTGAATTAAAATAAATAAATAAAGTGAAATAAAATCTTCCTCCTTTTTTTTTTTTTTTTTAAAGAAAGCACTGAGCTCCCACATTGTTGAGTATGGTTCGAGTCTTGGATCTGGCGGCTTCAAAGCACATCAGGTACATGTGTGTGCGTGCCCAAAATCCCGGAAGGAGAATGGAGGAGAAGGGATTGCAACATGGTCATTCCTGGTGGGGAATGATTTCTCACATTCCTTCTCTCTTTCTCTCTGGCAAGCACACACACCTTCTGACAAAAAAAAAAAAAAAAAAAAAAAAACATACTAGGTGCGAATGCATGCCAAAAATTCCAAAAAGAGGGAGAGACGGAGGAGAAGAGACTGCAGTGAGATCTTATCCCATAGAGGGCGCTCTCCCTCTCTGTCTCTCTGTCTCTCTATCCTGACTGACACACCCTCTAGCAGAAACACAAAATTTAAAAACAGAACAACGTCCTGAAGGCCACTAGCAGTCGATTTTGTTCTCTGTACCTTCTCACAACTTAAAAATCATTTTAAAATAAGATACGTTGTCTTCCTTTCATGGAAAACATGCCTATGGAATTACCTAGAAGGCCAAGTTCAAGTGAAAACATTTTGGGGAACCAGCAGTTAGCGTAATGGCTATGTCATTGGACTCCCACGTTGTCAACCGTGGTTCGCGTCCCAGACCCGGTGGCTTAAAACTCACGCCGGACACGGGTGCGTGCGTGCCCAAGATCCCAAGAGGAGAATGGAGGAGAAGGGATTGCGGCGTGGCCATCCCCCCTGGGGAGTGATTTCTCGCTGGCTCTCTGGCTCTCTGGCAAGTACATGCACCTTATAGCAAAAAATATATATATATAGATATTTCTAGGGTCAGCAAGTGGCGTGGAGGTCAAGGCAGCTGGATCCCACATGGCTGACTGCAGTTTGAGTCCTGGACCTGATGGCTTGAAAATCATGCTAGGCACCTGTGTGTACGTGCCCAAATTCCAAGGAGGAGAATGGAGGAGAAAGAGTTATGGTGTGGCCACCCTCCCAGGAGGTAATTGCTCACTTTCCCTATCACACTATGGCAAAAATCTTAAAAATGTTTTATTTTGTTTTATGGAGAGTTTTTTTTTTCTTTCTACATGGCGCGTGCACTCGCCAGAGAGACAGAGAGACAGAAAGTGAGAAATCACCCCCCAGGGGGGATGGCCACGCCGCAATCCCTTCTCCTCCGTTCTCCTCTCAGGATCTTGGGTACGCACGCACATGTGCCCGGTGTGAGTTTTAAGACACCGGGTCCAGGACTTGAACCGCGGTCGACTACGAGGGAGTCCAGCGACATAGCCATTATGCTAACTGCTGGTTCCCAACAGTATCCAGGCTTTTTTAAATAATTTTTTTACAATTTAACTTTATTTATTATTTTATTTATTTATTTATATTTGACCAGAGAAGGACAGGGAGAGAGAGAGAGAGAAAGTGAGAAAGCAAGCTGCCCTGTCTGGGACTCGAACAGCGCTCGGCCATGTGGGAATCCAGCGCCCTTAACCACCACACCACCTGCTGGCCCCAATAAAATAGTTCTTAAAAAAAAAAAAAAAAGGAAGAGTCCCCAGGCTGGATCAGAGGCGCCCCCTCCCCCGGCAGAGAAGGGAGGACTGTGGGACAGAAGGGTGCCCAGGAACGTGCTTTGCCCGGATGCATGCAGTGACCCTCCCTGGACAGTGGGGCTTGAGCTGTGCGGGGTGCCCGGCGGATGCTCGGATGCTCCGTTCTAGGGGTCGGGGAGAGGCTTGGACTCCGCAGTGTCGCTCACGCCCAACCGCGCATGAGAGAGCGCGTGTTCCGGGAGGCGAGGCAGCCACAGGGGCAAGGAGGCCAGCAGCTAGAAAATAATTGATCAGGACAGCTGAGAGCACCTCCCTAGGCCTGCTCGCCAGCCCCCGGCCCGCCCCCCAGCCAGCAGGCCCTGCGCCTCCCGCCTCCCAGCCCAAGCCAGCTGGACCAGCTCTCCCAGCCCGCAGCCCCCCCTGCCACCAGCCAAGTCACAACCTCAGGGCACCTTCAGGCAAGCAGGTGGTGGGTCCTGAACTCCCAGACCAGAAGGTGGGCTTCTGGGCAGAGATGGCCCTGCAGAGCCAGGTGTGGCCTTTGGCCACTCCCATGTAAGTATCCGGGGTCAGGGGGGGCTGGTGGGCAGGGCCTGGGAGGGGTTCCTGGGGGACCTCGGTCTTGCTTAGGAGCCAAGATTCCCAGCTGGCTTCTCCTTACGGGACCAGGGGCCAGAAAACGGAAAACGGCGTGGACAGCCAATTCCAGAGGCGCCTCAATAACCCCCTTCTCCAGAGTCCAGCCGGA